GGGGAGGGGGGGTGGGGCTCTGCGTTGGAATCGGTAACTCGATCCTCGCGTAAAACACAAAGTTTGTTCGTGGCAAGACAACGATAGAACATGTGTCTAGGTGTGCGGTTGACGAACCGGAGCTGAGATGTACGTCCTGGCGAATCGTTTCGCGATGAACTGATCTCGCGATTCGAGGGACGACGTTTTCGGGTCGAGTCCGTGATCGTGCGTGGCTGCCAGGACAAACAGGGACGAGATAAAGAACGAAGAAGAAAGCGGCGGAGGAGGAGGAAAAATGAGGGCCTCGTTGCTGTTGCTGGGGGGCATCGTGGTATTCTCGCTCGCGGTCGCGAGAGCTCTCTCCTGCGTATGTTCGCCCTTCGAGTGTGACATTCTCACCGACGACGACTGCCCCGGAGGCCTCACTTGGGATCCCTGCAGGTAAGCCACGCGCCAGTTTCTTTTCCTCGCTAATTCTCAGGTAACTAACTCTTCCGGAATTCTCAACGATTCACGCGATTTTAATAAGCGTACGTTATAGCGCGTAAGATACAGATATTGTACGTAGCATTGTAAATAATCTCCGTGGTATAGCGACGACAGTTGTAAGTCATCGGTATTCAGAGCTACGTAGAACGCGTCGGCTCTTACCAAAGATTCGCCCGAATATCCAAACCTTAATACTCGCCCGATTTTACGATCATAAAATTATTATACGGCAATCGAGCTTCTTCGGAATCGTGTCTACATCCCTGGCGCTGGTTTATTCTTCGAATTAACGTCTGTCACGAGAAAGTGCACGATCGTTTCGTTTCTGTAACTTGCCACTGCTCTGAAGGTTGTCGCGCTTACGAACGGTTCTTTCCGCGTTCTTCGCGCTCTTCCGATCGGTTAAACTTTCGACTCGCTCCACTCGTCAGCCAACAATTTTCTTTCAACAGCCACGACTTACACATAGGAAACATGTTACAGGCATCGTTAATCACATCCGCCAACCAAAAGCCAATATTTAGCTTTTTCTCCTCTTCCTGTAAACAACATTCGACATTTTCGCGCGTCTGTCGTATTCATCGAGAGATCCCGTGCAATTAAAATCTCTAGTAAAACAGAGATTCCGGTTCCTTTTTCAACGAAGAGGAAAAAGTTCTGCTCTTTGTTACGCAGCGTTCTTTGTCAGGTGAATTTTATTCCGGTATTAGCGGCGCACTGATGAAAAATAGCGTTTGATAAAGCGAAGCTTGAATATTCAAACTAGGAGTGAACAAAAGCGTCAGTCATTGAAATTTCATGCCGTTTTTTGCTTGCACGTTCGATCGACCAGCGAATCGATCGTTTTTCCCCCATAACACCGTATTTTTTCCCCACGCAGCGGTAAACAATAAATCGATCAACACTACGATTTATAATATTCATTAATCTATAATAATTGTCCCGTGGAAATTCGAACGCAAACAACATCCGATTGAAATTCTTCCTTTTCCTTGAGTAAGACCTTCCATGGGTTAACGATGCAGCCCTCGTTTGTCAAATTGAAAATGCGAAGATTGAATTCGCGACGGATCTTCTCCATCTGCAAGGGCTGTGAGGTCGTTTTGAATTCGATACGCGTAGCTAACGTTTATCACGACGAGGAATTCTCGGTGAGTCCTTTAGGTAAAGGGAATTACTGGAACGGGATGGGACGCGATGCGATGGTTAAAATCGAGCTCGAAGACGTAAACGGAAGGGTAACATTCCGGTAAACGAGATATTTTAAGGCGAAGGATCTGCGCTCTAGATTTTGCACAGGGTAAACAGTTCACGATCCTCGAGTCTTTCTTTCGAATATGAAATTCGCCGTATTTCTGTTCATATTCGTAGTCTCTCGTATTGGTAAATTGCTCCGTGATAGCGATACGACGATCAAGTTGCGTTTTATTTCGTTGGTTATACTAGAAAAATCTCTTCTGCAAATGACTAATTGTCGATAGTTAATGGCCTGCGGTAAACGGGAATCGTACGATAGCAACGTTTTTTCGATCCGATGACGAATCACGCGGTTTCCTTGTTCGAATGGCTCGAACGATTTAACCACGTTCGCGCGATGCAAAAGACACTTTAAGATAGATTTATACTTTGTACCATACAGAAACGGTAACGTCGCACGTCTTCCGTTCGGTGACGGATAGTGTGAACGGTCTCGTCTGAAACACATGTTTCGATGTTCTGTCGTGCCAGCGCCGTTCCGTACGTAACGTGTCGGAACGGATCCGCTACGCTATACGTATACGAACAGACCTATCTTACTACTGGCAAGAATGTTCGTCGAGAGTATGTAAGTTCACCTTTAAGGTCGATTTATTATTAATCGTATTCGACGCGGAACGCACACACACGGACGCTAGTATTCGTATTATACGTACGTTTGTCGAACGACGACATTCAATCAGTCAGTCAACACAAAGCGATTCGTGAAGGTCTATATTGGGTTGGCAAGTAAGTGATTGCGGATTTTGTCATTAGGTGGTATTGACAAAATCCGCAATCGCTTAATTGCCAATCCAATAATACCGAGCAAAAGTGTTTTTTCATTGAAGTATGAATTGTATTATATAAGTACGTATTACATTTACCGGATTCTTCCAGTTTCCTTCCAATTTTAACCCATGCTGCTCCTTTTTCTTCATTATCGTCGCCATTTCTATCTTGTTGATCGCGTGAAAAAATATAATCTCCAAGTTCAGTAAGTTTTTCAAAATCCATCATTAGCGCCTGTTGCTGTTACTGTTACGTTCGAACATACGACGCACACTGTCAGCATCGACGCGTTCCGTATCCGACAAAGTAAGTTCGTTCCGATTTACACTCGATTCGATATACATTTATTGAATTATATAGGTGGCATTTTGTTCCACAACCTTTCTCCATTTTCCATCTCAACTCGAATATTCCATCCTTCCAGAAGCTCTCAGGTTTTTCGGCGAAGAACTTTCCCACGCGATTCTTTACGTCGACCAAAGTGCTTAAAAATCGGAACGAACTTCCCGAGCGACCCAATATATTACGCGAAAATGCCGGACGGTTGGACCGATACGCGTCTGTGCCGATATCATACGATACGTATAAATATTTGTACTGAAATACAAAATATAAAAAAATATTTGTCTGATCGGTGCTGAATTGATACATCCATCTCGTGTTTGCGCGGATAATATAATCCGACCTTTAATCGTAGTTCGTGCAAAGGCATTTACGAAATCGGGGAAACGCGTTCTAAGCTTTGCGCGTTACCGTATGATGTACCGTTGTGCATGTTTCTACGGCATTCATGAGTTTCGATTTGAAAAAGCTCGTTCCACGATACAATTATACCTGCGTGTTATCCTAACGAACACGCGAGTTATCGTTTCAACGTTGAATCATCTTGTTAAACGTACACACGTTGATAACCATCTACATGGCAAATTTTTCTTCCCTTGTACTCATTCCTTTTATTCGTTCGTTTACGTTATTAAAATATATCGCGGCTCGGTACAGAAAAATCATTCGGACTTTCCGAAATTATACGATAACGATAGTAGAGATTCCGAGCGGAAAGTATTTTTCATCAAGTTTTTGTGTCACAGTAGTAAATACTTCATTGCGAGGTAAACCGGATGTAGACGAATCTTGTGTTGTATTATACCGGTTATAAAACGCGTGACGGCAAGGAAAATTGTTTCGTGGAGAGGATGGAGAGAACGCAATATAAAAGAATTGATTGCCCTCGATCCAACAATGAGACCAAGTAATAAAATTGCTCCTCGTACTCGGAAATTTTCTGTACAAGGCGCAACCGGTTCTTTCCCATTATTTTTTCCCTCCCTTTTCCCATTTCTTTCACCCTCGCTTCGTATTTCTTCCCCCCCCCCTCTGAACCCGAGTATTCTTGATTTTCATAAAACGTAAGCGTTATCTTTGGACCGTCGATATAAAACAAGTTGAAGCTCGTTTACTTATCGCGGCTATATTACGTCTGAATTTGTTTTCCAAGAAACGAACAATACGATGCTTACTCCCATAGAGAATCGATTTATTTTAATACGCTTTTATAAATTCGCCAAGTCGTTTCTCGTCATTTCTATTACGTTATTGTTCACGCGTCGTGCAAACAAACAAAGCAATTGTTGCAAGCTTCTTCGTGTACGAGTGAATACCCTGTAATGGTTTTCAGATGCTGCAAAGTGTGCGCTCGTGTCGAGGGAGAACCGTGCGGTGGCCTGTTTGGATTTTCCGGAAGTTGTGCTGACGGCTTACAATGTGTCATCAAAAATTTGCTGCCCAACACTCGAGAGGTGGACGAGGGAGTCTGTACAAGTGAGTGGTATCCCGATTTTATTCTCGGATTTATCAAAGTACCGTGGAATCTATTACCTTTATGCGTGGAATCGATGCCGGTCCGATAGCGAAGGAAGAATAATGGTGCGTAGATTTATGAAGCGATTTAAATCTCTTTAGGAATCGATCTTTAGAATCACGATGATTAATAACTCTTGTGCCAGTTCCTGAAACTTGTACCGATCGATTTTTATCATAACGCACAGTTCTTTCGTCTCTGCTTTTTCTTATCCTCTGCAGCGTCAAATTCGATGAAAACTCACACAGAATCACAGGTCATTTTTCTCACGACACGTACTTCGTAGAGAGTACGTTTCTAAGTACTGAATTCTACAGCGGCATATATATGTGTATACAGTGTATTGATAGTAATCGATAATTTAGCACGGTCGATGGTAAACTTTGGTAAAACGATCGTTTCACCGAGGACATTAACGTAATGACATTTGCATCTGACGAAGGCACGAAAAGTAACGTATACGGTAGTTTTTATCCTGCATCGATACAGTTACGTTCTTCCTTTGAATACGTACGTATCTGTTATTGGTTCGTGCGATGCTTTCCAAAGTAATCGATTAATTAGAAACGATCGGAATTCATTCGTTACGTGGATATAACAACTACGATAGATATGTGGCGAGCAATCGAGAAAAAGAAGAGCCACTCGTTTGCTAATCGTGTTGAAATGACGTTAACGAGGACAACCTTTTGCGGTCGTGATTATCGACATGGGGAGGTAATAATAGTATTGCGCCAGGGACGGGTAACGATGCTTGGAAAATTTTACAAACATATTATTTCTATATTCGCGCGGTTGTAAATGCGAATGTAATATAAATTTATTTGCACGTAATATCACGGCACACGATTTAGAATACAAATTGCGTCGTAAATATTATCACGGTGTAAACGTTCGCGACAGTTGAAAAACATTTGGCAACTTTTATTAATAGAAGTAGTTATAGAACCGTTTATTAAGCGCATATCCCGTTAAAAGTCTGGTCGTTATGCGCCAACTACGGCCGTCAAGTTTTCGAATTCGGCCGAATTTCTATATCGTTTTAAGCGGCCTTTCGAGGCAAGTAAAGCAGAAGCGTAGCTTAGGATACATCTTACGAAGTCAATCGATATCGATCTATTCGTCTCGAGCTTTCAAAGAAGCGACTCTTTTGTAAGTTCTATAAACGCTTCTCGTAAGTTCTCGTTTCCGACGAGTAGGTTACCTCGAGGGTTGGAGGATGGTGCGCGATAATAAGAATTGATTTCAAACGAGCATTTACAAGCCGTGCTTCGCTCGACATTCTCTACTCGCGTTCCGTCGCGGTGCACCTTCTGCGACGATGTTTCGTGGTCTTTCGTATTTCAGCTGTTTGCCAATTAACAGTTGCGCACACCTACAAACGATACAAGAGCTTTATCTCGTTTCCATGGAACTCTGCCAACTCTAGTCTCCTCTTCTTTTGACTTTACCTTTTATTTCCCCTCTTAGCTTCGACCTACGGTCCCTTCGTTGAAACTTCTTAACTTTCGACTTTGAGCAACTCGAGCCACGACTGTGGACCCGGCTAGATACGAACGAGACAGCTCCAGCCGCGAATTTAATTGAACAATTTTTCCGCTGCTACTCCGCGTTGTTATTACTTTGTCTCGTGTCTCTAGCGAGGTTAGCAGAAGAAGATAATAGAGGAAACTTTGAAAAAAAGAAAATAAAAGAGGAAAGAACAAAAATCTTGGATTTGGTACAAGGAGAGAAACTAGAACCGCGTTGTTTGAAAAATCTTGAGACACGAAGAAAAAGATTCGAACGTTTAAAGTTATTCGGTATCGTCGCCAGATATATGCCTTAGGGTCGTGATCGTAATTTTGAAGTCTTACATAAGTTGGAGGAATAGCCAGGTACCTGTTTTGATAGCCGTGCCTCATCGTGGATTCTTCCGAACATTGCAATCGTCGTGTTATACCCAACCTGGTTACTATGTACGTTTGTAAATGGCATCGAGTCGATTACGCGTGACAGCGGTTCGAGTTGCTTCTAAGAGTCGAACGTGATCGGTAACCTTGTAAACTGGCAGCTGCCTCGATAGCAAAAACTCGTGTACGATCGCGTGGATCGCGTTAACATCTCGATATCATAATTATCGTTCAATTTATTTACTTAGATCGAGTACGGGACGGATCCTTTGATCCGAACGTTTACGAGTAGCAGTCACGCAAGCGAAACAATATTACACGAGCAAGATTAAACGAGGAGCAGGCTAAACGCGCAAGGTAGCATAATAATAGAAACAAAGTGTAAGAACGAAATAATGATAATAATTTTGCTAATGCCATTCGATGATACAATAGAATAAGATAAAGTGGAATAAGGTAGCGAAAGGAAAGGTAAGAGAGAAAGGAGGAAAATGTTAAATGGAACCACGAACAGTCATCGGAGTGGCGCGCTTAAAAGAGTTTGGACAGCTAATAACGAAGTAAATATCGGTGATTCCTTATTTGCAGTCATTAAGTTTGCGTATCCTAATCCTGCAGTGCCTCGAAAACCGTTGTTTTCGCAGAACGATTTGTCTTCTCCGTTTGTAAGTAAAATCAGCGCTTTTCAATTCCGAAGCGCCGTCATAATTGAAAGAGTTCCTCTTGTTAATGGCGAAAGAAAATAAAGGAGCGATTGTACTCGAAATCTCTTTCCTTTCGATCGAACGCTCTTCAGATTCGAGATCCAACAGCTCATGAACGCTTCGATACTAATTACTCGTACCATCCTCTCGTTATTATCTTAAAGTGGCAGGTAATTGAGTTACTTTGACTCAATTTCCTCGCGTTGGGAATCAAGACTATCTTGCCTTTTATAGATGTATATGAAACGTAGCTGGTCGGCGACGTTAATCCGAGAAAATGCAGTTTGAAAGAATTTGATTTTCGTTCTTTGACATGGAATACTCTTACCTGTTCTTTTTCCGCTACTTCCTCCTCTATTTTTACCTGCGTATTACCCGTTAAACGCCACGTTCTCTCCTATAGTACCGTACTTCTATTCGGCTTGGGTTTTACTTTCCTCGTAAACAGATAATCCTATCAGACCATATAATTTATATAAATCTATTAACCTTTTGATTCGCTGCAGCCTTTGGGAAAGTTATAAATCAATTTTCACGACCATTCAATCTATCGCAAGATCCGAAAGTCTCGTTGGAAACCGTTTAAGAAAAGAGCTGCGCGTACACTTTGGTCGCGAATATGCATGCCTCCGTGAATTTAAGTCGATGCATATGCTCCGGTACTTGACGTGGAAGCTCAGGTACTCAGTATTCATGGAATATCGTTGCTCGAACGTAAGAGGTCGTGACGAGGGGAATAGAGGGAGACGAACAAATTAGTTTAGGTCCTTTATATTTACATTACCGTGCTTTCATTTAAAAACCGCTGGCACAAGCACGCACGCATCGTAAAACTCCAACTTAGGTTTCGCGGTTCGTAAGCTTCCTCGGTAAAATCCTTTCGCTATCGTTTCGTAGTTTTAAATAGGGACAATAGAACGAACACGAACTCTGTGAGCATGTAATCCGTACTAACGAAACCGATCACATGGAACACGAATGGAGATATACGAAAGAGGAAAAATAAGCATGGATATAAAAACCGCGAAGAGGAGAAAACGGTGAAATTTTTACACGTTTGAAACTTTTCCGCTCGTGGAACGTTATTTAACGTAGATGAGAATAATTCATTGCACCGCGTATATTTATTTCATCGTTTGCAGGGAAAAATTTCGTTCGACATTATGGAACGCGTGCAGTTGCGCATATTTTATCCGCTTGGTATCCAACGTGCCTACCGATAGCCAAGTCAGATAGAACCCAATGTACGTTACATCGATTTGTATAACGTGCAACTCAATTAACCAGCGTGATTTACTTTAGCGATCTGCGAGCGCATTTCACGCGACACCTCAGATTATTATTGCAGCCGTACCGAAACCAATCTCATAGATCGAATTTATCGCACTCTCGGATACTTTCTACGTTCGAACGATATTTTTCTCCATTGTTTTTGCCTGTAGGTTTATTTAGCGAATCGCGATGTTCTTGCGAATGAACGATCGATCGTTTCGACGAAATAAAATGAAAACGGAGAGAACACGCGATTCAAGCAAGTTCGCGGTATCTTGGATATTGTATAATTCATCGATGCGATAACTCTGTAGTAAGATTGCCAGTTGTAGTTTTATTCGCGTCTGGGATTCGAGAGTACGCGTACGTCGTAAAACGTAATGTTTAAACGGATAAAGATCCATCGATAAGCGTAACTTATCCGAAATATCGGACGAAGGAAAGGACGAGCGCGGATAGAATTGGGGTTGCTGAACAAACGACGAAGCGTAAAAGGGAAGGCGATCATTATCTCGCGGTAGGACGCGTTGTAGTCCATTGAAACGAGAACAAGTCTGTCTCGACGATCTCGGCGTGGTTAAGGAAAAAGAAGGGAAAGAATGGGAAAGACGGTAGAAGATATCTGAGCATTTACGGACCATTTCCTCGCCGTTGCTCATAATGACGTTATTGCCTTTTCGAGGTTGGCTGGAGGTTGGTGGTAAAACTGTATCTGAATTCGTTAACCACAGACATTATCGGTTTTCGGTCGACGTAGCGGACATGTAAATTCATCTGAATTAGCCAGTACTCGCGACAAATATTACGTTCCTTTTTGCCACACGTTACACAGGAAAATCTGTAGGAGAATTTCGAGAGGAAGGTTCAATTTGTTGCTCGTTTCTACCAACGATATCAAGCACGCGTCTCGTGCATTACCGGACTCATCCGCTTCTGACCGTTGCGATGAGAATGTGCCACGTACGAATGTCGTATACGTAGATTTATGTTTTCTAAAATCGTCATATTGTCGACAGCATTCAACGACGTCCTTGACGTTGAAAGCATTTTTAATCCCTTTGTGTGCATTGCATTTCGTTTAGATGATATCGA